TATTTGCTGCTCAACAGATTCTGAGCTCATTGACAAATATCTGATCTTGTAAGATGTGCTTGCTCCCTTTACACAGAGTGCGTGTGATCACGAAATCGAAAGTGAAAGTAAACAACGCAAATGCTCATTCAAAAAAATATATAAATGGACCGCATCCTGAGGGCGGCTCCCTGATGCGCCAAAATTATATACAATATTAGAATGTTTTAGGTCCAAAAAGAGGACATGTCCGGGGAAAAGAGGACGTATGGTCACCCTAATTTATTGCTAATTGATGTATTCTTTTTAAAGTAGCATATGGAACATATTTTCTACCTCATTCAATGACAAGAAGCCTCTTCAGATCACAAAAGGAAGCATTTGACTGGTGTTGTGGAGTAAAAAGGTTATAATGTTCTTTTTTGTTGGACAACAGGTTTAGAAATGTGAATACAAGAGGTTTAGCTTTAGGCATTTTAATTTAAGCATGTTTAGCTTAGTTAACGGAAGGCTATCTGCTGCCATCAGAGCAAGTGTAATTACTGCATTCACGCGCTCCTCGAATGCTCTCATTTCCCGAGTTGTGCTTTTAAGTCAGAATGTGAAAACAACATGGACACTCGCATTATTACAAAGATTTGTATTATTAGACCTTTCCGACTAGAGTTCACGTGCATTTAAATTATTTTTCACGTGCGGTGCCAATGATGAAGGTTGGTCTCAGAAGGAAGTTCTGCTTCTCTTGACTGGTTGTTCGTCTCCCATGTGGTTAATCTGCAATCAGTGATGAATGGCAGCTGTGATTTTTATTTTATTTTATTTTTATTTTTTGTAAATGCACCCAAACTAAAATGTCATATGTTCATTCTCCATCCGTTCTTAAGTTCAGGCTGCTGATCCAGTGAGGGAACAGATTGAGCACAGGATGACCAGGGCTTGGCCAATCACGGCCCGTCTCTCTCTCTCTGGTCTTGACTGATTACAGTAGTTGGGTTATGGAGGATTACTGTTAGTTTAAGCTCTGCTGAGGATTATTGTCTTCTTCTCTAAGTGTCCTGATTCTGTAATATCACTGAATATTAAAGAGCAAATGAGACATTTAGTTTTAAATTACATAGACCTCATCAGAGCAGTGGAGTGTGTTTAATGTGGATCTGGGTAGGTGTGTGAGGGGTTTTTCTCTGTATGATATGGTTCATGAAACAGAGATTGTTACTGGTTTCAGTCACTATTCATGAATGCCAGTAGTTGGGCAATATTGCTTTAAAATTTGTTCTTGATAATATAATATAATATACACTAATGATTTTTAGATGAATGATATATTAATATATATATTATATATTATGTAAATTGTTTATATATATATATACACACACACACACACACACTATATTAAATACTTTATTATTTAACATTCAAATTTATATTCATTTAACATTAAAGTATATTCATTGTATGTATGTGTGTATATATATATACATACAGTGTTATACTACTAATAATGTAGTACGTTATTGTAGTACCAATAATGTACTAAAATAACTGAAACTAACTGAAAAAAAACATATACATTTAAAAGCAACAAATACTCATAAAACACACAACAAAATTAAAACTTTAAAGGTGACATATCATGAAAATCTGACTTTTCCAGGTTTTAAGTGCTATAATCAGGTCTACTAACCAAGGAAACGTTAAAAAGATTAACCCAGTAACTTTGTTTTGGTAAGCCTTCTGAAAAAGCAAGCATCTGAAAAAACGAGCATGTCTGATTTCGCTCCACTAGTGACATTGCAAAGGGATCTCATTATAATATTACCGCCCCTTAATCTGTAAATTTCCACCCACGGCGCCGTCATTTGTTTTTGCAAGCGACTACAATGTACCAGCTCTAATGCCATGGCGAAAGTTTGAGCAAAACATGCTAAATGTTCTGCCTTTGGCTGCACAGATGAGCACAGAACACGATTTAGAGTCCCAGCCTCAGAGGAGACAAGAGAGCAGTGGATTTATTGATTTATTTACTGTATATTGCTGCTGCCACACAGATCTAAAATAAACAAGCAATTTATTTCCCAGCTGTTTACCTTCACAGACATAACCGAAAAAGTTTTTTAACGTAAACTTGTGTGTGAATGAGAACATAGTTTAGTACTCACATGCTGTGACAGCCGCTTTCTGTCCGTGTGCTTCGGATGTGTGCGGTCAGAAAACCATATATCAGAAGTTTAAACTGATATGGTTTAAAACGCATTATTTCAGCGTGATAAACATAATCAAAACCAAAACAGATGTTTTAGCAGGTTCGAGCTGTAATGGCGCAGCTCTATTCTGGAAAAGGGGGCGGGGAGCAGCAGCTCAAATCTGTAAATTTCCACCCACGGCGCCGTCATTTGTTTTTGCAAGCGACTACAATGTACCAGCTCTAATGCCATGGCGAAAGTTTGAGCAAAACATGCTAAATGTTCTGCCTTTGGCTGCACAGATGAGCACAGAACACGATTTAGAGTCCCAGCCTCAGAGGAGACAAGAGAGCAGTGGATTTATTGATTTATTTACTGTATATTGCTACTGCCACACTGATCTAAAATAAACATGCAATTTATTTCCCAGCTGTTTACCTTCACAGACATAACCGAAAAAGTTTTTTAACGTAAACTTGTGTGTGAATGAGAACATAGTTTAGTACTCACATGCTGTGACAGCCGCTTTCTGTCCGTGTGCTTCGGATGTGTGCGGTCAGAAAACCATATATCAGAAGTTTAAACTGATATGGTTTAAAACGCATTATTTCAGCGTGATAAACATAATCAAAACCAAAACAGATGTTTTAGCAGGTTCGAGCTGTAATGGCGCAGCTCTATTCTGGAAAAGGGGGCGGGGAGCAGCAGCTCATTTGCATTTAAAGAGACAGGTGAGGAAAACAGCGCGTTTCTGCTTCCACTCAAAATAGGCATTTTCAAAATGATATAATAAATGATCTGTGGAGTATTTTGAGCTGAAACTTCATAGACACATTCTGGGGACACCAGAGACTTATATTACATATCAGGGCTCGCAAAATCGCTAGCTCGACGCTATTGTGATTTCCAGTCGGGCTACCAAAATGTATCACCACTCTGCCCGACGGGATCCTTAAAAACTCCTACAGTGAGTTGTATCAAACTTAAGGCTATAAAAAGTTTTAAATATGTTAAATGGTATAAGAAATGTCTTAATTATAATTTCAAGAGGTCTTACAGTTGGGGACGGAAAGACAAGAGTCGCGATACGGCTGGATTAAACTTCAAAAGGCAATGATGTCATTGAATAAATATAAGCGCTGCACGTTTCAAGTCAAAACGCGGCGCGGATGTCTTTATTTGAATGTATCTGAAGAGAACCGGCTGTTCTCAGAAACGTGTCCTTGGCATTTTAATTTCATTTTACCAGCGTTTATGAGCGCTGAGCTGCTTTGTGTACAGCTGTTACCGGGGAAACCGCAATATTTCAGCACTCCTAAAGCACCACCTCGTGGCAGAGAATGAATTTGCATTTCCAATAAGCCTTTCTTTGTGATTATGCTCAGATCAATGCAAATATCAACTCATGTTTTACGCAGCAAACACATAGAGTTGTAAATGAGAAAGAAGTTAATGCGCCTTCTAAAAATCTAAACAATTAAGACAGTAATATTTATACGCTTTAAATTGACAATTTACACTCACTGGCCACTTTATTAGGTACACCTTGCTAGTACCAGGTTGGACCCCCTTTTGCCTTCAGAACTACCTTAATTCTTCGTGGCATAGATTCAACAAGGAGATGGAAACATTCCTCAGAGATTTTGGTCCATATTGACATGATAGCATCACGCAGTTGCAGATTTGTCGGCTGCACATCCATGATGCAAATCTCCTGTTCCACCACATCCCACAAGGTGCTCTATTGGATTGAGATCTGGTGACTGTGGAGGCCATTTGAGTAAAGTGAACTCATTGTCATGTTTGTGTTACCAAGCAATTGGAACAGTTGAACCTAATAAAGTGGCCGGTGAGTGTATATGCTTGATTTATCCCTTTTCATAAAATTGGTCTAAAGGCTGAAATGCTGTTGTATAAGATTTTTGTTTTTGTGAAAACCTGTATCTGAACTGTAAATCATGTAATTTTATGGCTCAGTACTGTATGTTACCATAGACATTGTCCAACCCCACTCATACTGTGTTAATTTTACTTGTGCAGCTCTTAAAATGGGTCATAAATTGCCTTAAATTTATTTTTAAAAATTCTGCAGATTTTATTTTGTAAATAGTGAAATAAAATTCCTTCCTTCATATTTGTTGATATTTGTGTATTGAAAATATTTTTGATTGACATTTAAAGTCCTATCTGATTTTCTATATTTAAAAAAAGGGTCTTCTTTTATATGGGCTAGTTAAATTAATTTTCTGGCTACCAAAATCCGATGAGTACCTGCCCCGAAGGGCTACCAGGGATTTTGAAATTTTGCAAGCCCTGCATATTGTAAAAAGGGGCATAATATGTCTCTTTGAACTAAAATTAACATAAAAGCAGAAAATATAAAAATAAAATCTAATTCAAAATATTAACAAAAACTATAATAGTATCTCAATGATACTAATATAATATTGATATACACAATATATTAATCTGAATGTTAAGCAGCCAATACTCCAGTCTTCAAATAGAAATAATTTTTTGGAACATTATAAATGTCTTTACTGTGACTTTGGACAACTTAATGCATCCTTGTGTAATCACTGTATTAGTTTTGTGCTATACAAAATCATTTACTGACCCCAAACCAAGCTGTATATGCATATTATTTCAGGACATAATGTGCCACACAGGGACCTCTGTTGATTTTGCTGAATCAATGTTTCAAACAATTTGGTGATAGTTGAGTTTTTGAGTCATTTATTTGCATGCATAAAAATGAGAGCAGTCCTAAACCACACATACAGTATATATATGTAGCCTAAACCCTCTTGCCTGTGTGCTTGTAAACTCTCACAGGTGGAGACAGCTCTTCTACAACCACAGGCAGTGCCTCTCCAGTTCCCAACAGTTATGAGTCTCTGGAGGGCGGCGGTTACTCGGGTACATCCTTACAATGCTCACTGAGACATCTCAATGCCAGTTCTGCACTTGAATGATTCACTAACGCCTTCTCTCTTTCATTATTCAGATCTTGCAGCTCCTCCTGCTGGTGTTCCCGCCAAACACGCTCCACCCTTCGGATACAATTATCCAACTATGCATCCTGCTTACCAACAGAACCCCGCCCCCAAACCAGACCCCTCCCCCTCTCACGGAGGGTACAACCCACCAGGATACCAGCCGTACTCGCAGGTACTGACACTAGTTTGGGATTCAGAAAGTGTGTCATTCAGGAAGAGGTGTGTAAAGTGGCTGTGTTTATGTTTTTGTAGCCTTTCCCGTCTCTGTCTGAGCTGTCATCAGCGTTAGGAGGCCTCGGCGGCGTTTCTGAACTGGAGGCTGAAACCTTGAGACCCATGAATCTACTCCAGGAGAGAAACCTCCTTCCTCCCAAACGCGCACCTCCACCTGAGCCCAACCTGAGCAACGACCTGCGCAAGGTCAACTGCAGCCCCGAGTAAGAGCAGAGAGATGACACACGTGTTTGTCAGAGTTGTGGTTTCACACAACAGGTGCAGACTGAGAAAACAGCTTTGTTTGTTTAACAGTTTCTCTTTCTTTCTGTCTCTTCCAGCACTTTTCGCTGTACTCTCACTAACATTCCCCAGACTCAAGCGCTGTTGAATAAAGCCCGTCTGCCTCTTGGATTACTGCTGCACCCCTTCAGAGATTTAACGGTAGGAGCAAAAAGCACAAATCAAACACAAATCATGGTCTGGTTGATGTGCTATGTAGAAGTTAATAGATGTACACTACCATTTAAACGTATTTTTTAAATTAATACTTCCCCAAGGATGCATTAAATTGATTAAAAGTGACATTAAAGACATATAATATTACAAACATGTATATTTCAAATAAATGCTGTTCATTTGAACTTTTTATTCATCAAAGAATCCTAAAAAAAGAATGATCACTGTTTCCACAAAAAGCAACACAGTTGTTTTCAACATTGATAATAAAAAAAAATGTTTCTTTAGCTGCAAATAAACATATTATAATGATTTCTGAGGGATCATGTGACACTGAAGACTGGAGTAATGTTGCTGAAAATTCAGCTTTGCATCACAGGAATAAATTACATTTTAAAATATATTCAAAAAGAAAACAGTTGTTTAAAATAATAATAATATTTCACAATATGACCGTTTTTATTGTATTTTGATCAAATAAAAGCAGCCATGCTGAGTGTAAGAGACTTGACCTGTGAAGCATGTTGGGCAGACTTATTGATTGGATGATTTTTGGCCATTTTAGTCATGAGTCATGAATGTGTTTAGTCATCAGTCAAGTATGATCAGTCATACTTAGTTGTTCAAAACCTAAAGCCAGTCCCCAGAAAATGTGATAGTTGTACCGTCATGAACACACTGTACCATTTAATATACCGTATCTTAGTAAACTTGATTCTGAATTCCCACATGAGGGTAAACAATTTTCAGCTTTTGATGTGAAACCGTCAGAATTACAGATAAAGGTGTCATAAACGGGTGTCTTACTGTGTTATCTAGAGCTTTACTGAAACAACATTAGATCATGATAATGCAGGTTTAATCATCTCTTCATTAACTCTCTCTCTCTTTCTCTGCAGCAGTTACCAGTGATCACCTCTAACACTATAGTTCGTTGTCGTTCGTGTCGGACGTATATAAACCCTTTTGTTTCGTTTCTGGATCAGCGCAGGTGGAAGTGTAATCTGTGTTACAGAGTCAATGATGGTAAGAGTCTTACAATTGTGTTTGTTTAGTCTTTAGTTAGTCTGGTCTAGGGTTTCCCAAACTAGGGTTCATGAAGCAAATCAGTGAAATCATAAGAACGTCATATTAAAATAAACAATTTTAAAAGAAAAACGATCAAAATCAAACACTTAAAAAAGATTAAATGTTATGTGACCATTAACTGATATTAGAGAACCATGAACATGCAAATGTGTTGTTAAATTATTAAAATATTAACTTGTTGCCTTGATACCTCACCAGAAATATTAATTATTGAGATGAAATATTAATCTCAGCCTTATGTCAGATGACAAAAAAATTTGGAAATCCCTGGTTTAGTCTATTTCAGTTATTGTACCAGAAATTACTATGAAATACTCTAAAATAAATAGTTTTCTCACATTAACATGTTCTTGAGGGTTTCGATATGTTCTGATAAATTGTCGTCTTCTCTTCAGTTCCTGATGAGTTCATGTATAATCCTGTAACTCGTTCATATGGTGAGCCTCACAAGAGACCAGAGGTCCAGAATTCAACTGTGGAGTTCATCGCTTCCTCTGATTACATGGTGAGTGTGTGTGTGTGTGTCTGTCTTTAAAGACCTTTAATGTTACGCTTGCATATTAATGTACATTTGCTTTCTCTCTCCAGCTTCGGCCTCCTCAGCCTGCTGTGTACCTGTTCTTGTTGGATGTATCCCACAATGCTGTGGAGTCAGGCTACTTGAATGTGTTTTGCCAGTCATTAATGGACAACCTAGAAAAGTGAGATATTACAGCTGATGAAATGTTTTTGAGTGTCACACACCTCAGATGTGACCATGGCTGTATGTGTCTCTCTCTCCCAGGTTGCCCGGAGATACTCGTACACACATCGGGTTTGTGACGTTTGACAGCACCGTCCACTTCTATAACCTGCAGGAGGGTCTTTCTCAGCCTCAGATGCTGGTGGTGTCTGATATTGATGGTAATCCGGTCTGATTCTCTTACGTCTCTTTATCTGTTCACCGACTTTGACTTTGGACATCAAGACTGACTTTTGTCTAAATAATTAAGTTTTAGAACTGCAAATTGGCCAGTTTTGATTGGTAATAGCCATTTACACACCTAAATTGTACTAAAATTTACGTAAAATAGAAAAAATGTAAGTAGAGTAGCAGTGTGTGTATGTATGTGTGTGTGTATATATATATATATATATATAAATACATACACACATTTATATAAATTTACGTTTAGACAATTTTTATTCTCTACTATATTTTTGAATTCTTATTTTTTCTAGTTTATGTCTGGAATCTTTAAGTCACGACTTTAACCATTTAGAATATAAAATTACTATTGTTATTTATTTTCTATATATATATATATATATATATATATATATATATATTCCTATTCAAAGTGTTTGAGGAAAGAGCAGAGCAAGTGAGCTATGGTGTCATTGATGCGGAAGCAGTTCAGTTCATAGCGTGCGAGTAAGCTGTGAGATAAAATCGCCAAATGGCTAATAAAAAGTTGTACCGTGAGGATGTGTTGCAAATGTTATTCGCCGATTCTGACTCTGAAGGGGAATATTTGCCTTTTGGAAATGACGATCGGTCGTCTAATAATCGCGCTTCTACCGGGACATCTTTGGAGCGCAATGGTGCCGCCGTGCAAGGCGTGAGTGTTCACGAAGCACAAACAAGTGATTATTTCGACCCTTCGCCCAACGGGGATGGGGGTGGCAGAGCAATATCTATTATTTCCTAAATATTACTGATGAATTGATCAAAAAGTAGGCTACTGTTCACATGCGTTTTACTACTATTTAGTATAGTAATATAGTAATAATTTAGTACTTTCTCCTGTTTTATTGTTGGTTTCCTCTTTTCTGATCATTTGGAATGAGGATTAAAAGACAAAAAAAAAAACATGTAAATAAGTTCAAACATCAATTCAATATCTATTATTTCCTGAATATTATTATATTCAAGAGGGCCACCCCCTGATGACGTCATAAAATGCCAATTAGATGAGTATATTTACACCCCACATAAACGTTCGGTCATGCCCAACATTTTTCTAATTTATATTAGATCTCTATCTTTAAGCCCTTTCAAGCCACAAGCTTTTGAAATCTTGATGTCAAAATCCAGCATTTTTCCAAAAAACCCTGGAACCTAAAGGGTTAAGCAGTCTATTCAATTTCTGTATTATCTTGAATATATTAATATTATAATATTAATTGTTTATTATTATTGATCTAAATGCACAGCATCTGATGTTATATGATAATTTTCACGAATAATGATTGCTTTTGCCACAGGATTTGGTCAGAAATCATTATTTTCACATATATACTATATCGCCTTTCACATATATACTATACTATAGTATAGCATTTTTAAAATTGTGCATTCATAACAGGCCTACAGAGCATTGTATCTGATGAGTGATTGAGTGATGTTTGTTTTGTGATTTTGTTAGATGTTTTCATCCCAACACACGACAGTCTGCTGGTGAATCTCAAAGAGAGTAAAGAGGTTTGAATCTTATCATTCTCTCTCTGTGTTTTAAGACCTTGTATCTTTGTGTGTGCGAGGTCAGCTGTGTTTGTGTTCCCATTTCCCGGCTTCATATCTCTGTATCACACAAGCTTTGATATGTGACACCATTTTTGCAGCTGTTTTATCTGACAGAAAGTGTGTTTGTGCATGTGCTCACAGCTGGTGAAGGACCTGCTCAATGCGCTGCCGGGGATGTTCACACACACACGTGAGACTCAGAGCGCTCTGGGTCCGGCTCTGCAGGCAGCATATAAACTCATGTCCCCTACAGGAGGCCGGGTGTCCGTGTTTCAGACCCAGCTGCCCACCCTCGGCGCTGGACTCCTGCAGTCACGGGAAGACCCCAACCTCAGATCTAGCACCAAGGTACCGCTCCTGAATCATCATTCAACTTAAACAGATCCTGTTTATGCATAAATGCAAACATTCATATCAGTGGATACTCAGTGATTAAAACATGGGAAGTTTTTCAACCAGTTATAAAGGAATTAACATTTGCCAAGCATAGAAATTGGCATATAAATATATATTCAAAGTTTCTTTAAAAGTAAAAAAAAAAAGTCCTAAATTTAGTTTGTACAAATTGAAATTAATAACAAGTCATAAATAGTATAACAAAAGTCTTAAAGGGATAGTTCACCCAAAAATGAAAATTGTCATTATTTACTCACCCTCATGTCGTTCCAAACCCGTAAGACCTTCGTTCATCTTTGGAACACAAATTAAGATATTTTTGATGGAATCTGAGAGCTGTCTGACCCTGCATAGACAGCAAGGGAACTACCACGTTCAAGGCCCTGAAACGTAGTAGGGAGGGACATCGTTAAAATGGGTGAACTATTCCTTTAAGGGGCCTTTAATTTTGGGGACCGAAAAACAGGATTGGCGTGATGTGATTATTAAACTATTAAACTCAAAAGTTTATGATTCCATGATTATGAGTTACTTTCCACTCTCTTTTTTTGTCTCGAGCAAGAAACTGTATGACATTCACGTTACATGATTTGACTGATTTTTACGTAGAAAGGGCGACAGCGAACCGCATTAAAAGAAATTAACATTCATGTTTTCATAACCGCTGGCCAAATTCAAAAACTAAACTAAAATTAAATCATCTTTGAGAACAAGGAGGGCCCTACGCAGCTTGCCTACTTTGCGTAAAGAGAGGATCAGCTCTGGTTAATACCATGCAGTTTTGCCAAGCGATTCTTTATGATTTGCCTTTGATTAATTCTGACAATGTTTACTTTATGGTGTTAATGGTGTAATGATGTAGGTGGTTGTAAGAGTACATATTTTATCTTGCTTATTTTTTTGAGCAGCTGAAAGTCTGTGTATTTCAGACTTGTTTATAATTAAAGGTTCCATATTTATATATTATATTTATAAATAATAATGTATTTTTTACACTTTACAATAAGGTTCATTAGTTAACATTAGTTAACTACTTTAGTTAACATGAACTAAGCATGAACAATTCTTCTACAGCATTTATTAATCTTAGTTAATGTTAATTTCAACATTTACTACTGCATTATTAAAATCAAAAGTTGTGCTTGTTAACATTAGTTAATGCGCTGTGAATTAACATGAACTAACTATGAACAACTGTATTTTCATTAACTAACATTAACAAAGATTAATAAATACTGTAATAAATGTATTGTTCATCGTTTGTTCATGTTAGTTAATACATTAACTAATTTGTTGTCAACAATCAGTTTATAAGCGCTTCTCATTACAGTTTGAGAAGATGGCTGGCACGTTATGTGACCTAAATCATGATTTTGGTTTTATTTCAATTAATTGTGCAGCCCTACTTCAAACCTAAATAGATGTTAATATGGATTTACTTTTCCACCTGTAATCATTTCCTGCCATTTACAAAGTTATAAAAATCTAATTTTTTTTATACATATTTACCAATGTTTAGATTTACTCACATTTTGTAATGCATCATTCTCAGACTTTAAGTTAAATTGTAGTTGTATTGTGGCACTACAACAAACAAACAAAAACATTACTCTTCAAGGGAGTTGAAGTTGACATGCTTTTTCTAAATCCTCATGTATCAATCTGACAATCAAAAAAAATCACTGCCAACAGCTAGTCAAATATCAGCAGCCAGTTTTTAAAAAAGTAGCTAATAATGTTGAAGTGTAGGATAGAATGAATAGATTGATGTGCTGTATCTGTCCTGTAGGCGGCGCTGCACCTGAATGACTCTGTGATTCCTCAGCCTCCGTTACTGCAGCTCACTGCAGAGAAACTCACCAGAGAGGGGGCCTTCCTCATGGACTGTGGCAGCGTAAGCATTACTGCACAAAACCACACAAGTTATCAGGATAGAGCAATGTTGTGTCTCGGCAGCTTCTCTTATTAATTCTACACTGTGATTTCTGCCCTTTGCTCTTTAGGTGATGTATTTGTGGGTGGGGAAGTGCTGTAATGAGATGTTCATACGTGACCTGTTGGGCTTCCCCAATTATGCATCCTTACCGTCCAACATGGTGAGTGTGTGTGTGTGTGTGTGTGCATGCATGGTGAACTGCTCTCCATTTCTCACAAGTATTTTTTTTCACCCTGTCGTGTTAAAGGTGGCATATCATATTTATGCTAAGGAACAGGATTTTTCTTGCTCTTTTGTAAAAGCTACAAAAATGACATTTTCAGGAATCGCATTGCGTTGATGTCACAAACACGAGCATATTAGCATGAAGTCTTGCATAGTAAGACATTATAAAGGTACCACCTATTCACACCTAATTAATATTAAGTGACTTAATGAATGACAGCTTGAACTGTGCAAGTCATAGCAGAGCTCATTTATTTATAGGCGTCTTAAAAGCGCAGTAGCACAAACAACCAGTTTAATTTTGAGGGTCAGAAAGAAGTCCAAGGTTATCCTAAACTAAAACCATTAAAAAAAAATCATAACTTGAAATGAAATTAAAATGAACAGAGATAAAATAATATACAGGTACTAAAAATTGTAAAACTAAATAAACTAAAGCTTAATAAAAAAATATATATATTTAGGCATATTTATAAAAAATAAAAATAAAAGCATTTAAAAATAACAAAATTACTCAAATGTAATTAAATTATTAATAGAAAATATCTATAAAATCTAATTCAAAATATTTCCAAAAACTACAACAGTATATCAGTGATACTAAAATAAAAGCAGTTAGACTGAATTTACATTCGTTTTAAACGATGCGGAGCCGGGTGCGAGTATAAACGAGCATTACGAGACAGGCTGCGTGAGTGCGGCAAGCGTGAACGGCTCGTCTGTGACGCGGGATTCGCGCCGCGTGGGGAAGAGAGGCGCGAGTATGAGAAGCATTCACAGACACAGGCTGTGTGTGCGCTCTTCTGAATTGGGAATAGCCAACATGCATCATAAACTTATTTCAAATTAATCTGTTGGGGAGATAAAATGTGTAAAATAACGTACACGTACTAACAAAAACATCTAAGAATGTATCTTTTATTCGCCAGTACTGAAAACAGAACCGATACGGGAGCTTTTGATATGCGCGGTGACGCAGCTCTTGGAAATTAAATTTTTTGTTTGTTGTCTGTCATTTCAAAGCTTAAGTTGCATACGTTTTTCTTTAGTTTTAATTTGCCTAACTATCGATCTGACCCAGTAGACACCATAATCCCACTCTGTCTCTCTCCCGCTTCCTGTTTTTTTTTTAAATGGTGGGTGTTTGCGCAGTTGGCTAGAGTAGTGCTGATTGGGGAGAACGGAGGTGCGTTCACTCTATTGGTTAGTAAGATTGCAACTCAAGGCTGGCAGTCATGCATATGCTCTGGAACAGAGTAATATCGCGTCCATATCCCAGGCTTTGCGATTAGGAAATCGCAACGTCTCACATCACGATTTCGATTAATCGCACAGCCCGACTTTCTTCCCTTCCATCTTTCCCAATCTCTATAGCTCTCCCCTTAGGCCCCTGTTATTCATAGTCACAGGGCAGCATATTGTTCCTGAGGGAGGATGGTGTGTTTTTATGCTATCACAGACTGACTCCTCTCACTGTGGGAGTTGCATTCCTTCGAAAGTTTTTTTTAGATGTTGCATGGTTTTGAAATCCATGTTTTAAAAAAGAGCCCACTAACATTTCTCTCAGTTTTAAAGGAATACTTCACCCAAAAATTAAGTTTCCTGATTATTTACTCACCCCCACGTCTTCTAAGATGTAGATGTTTTGTTTCTTCAGCCGATGAGAAAATTTTGGAGGAAAATATTCCAGGATTTTTCTCCATTTAATGCAAGTGATTGGGGCTCAATATAGACCATTTTTGATGGTACAAAATATGTAGCTCTATTTAGACCGCTTCAAAATAATCCACACATCCCCAGCTGACAAAAAAGACTCTCTTCTAGTAGAATGATCATTTCTATTATTAAAAAAAAGTGTGTATGTATATATATATATATTAAGGGATGGGCATTTTGGGCAATTTTTCATTTCGATCATCGATAGGTTTCAATAACAAATACTCGTAGTACTGTTATGAAAATGAATGTTAACAATAAAAACATTACATGAAAACCTGTCTATGAAAACATGAACACATGATTAGAACACTTAGATTATGATGCAGCAATGTTATTAAAAAAAGAAGCATCTATGACACATCCTATGATATTAATCAGATAACTTGGATACATAACATAGATGTATCATTACAACTTGTATATGCACAAAAGGATGCAAATGCCAGTGAACTTTTAAGTTACGCGTTATAGCGTGAGCGAGAGAGCTACCGTGATGCGCTTTCATAACAGCGCGCTGAAACACGGCCAAGGAAAGAAGTCAGAATTTACTATAGAGTTCACATTCTATAATGTTCTCATTACAATGCTATGTTTATGGCAGATTTTTGCTATATTTTCATGTACATTACCAAGTGATTCCTGAATCGCGTTTTCAAAGCCATACGAAATACGAATTTTTTTTTATTGAAGTATACCTACTGTTGAACAAATATGAGGAAAAAAAATCACTGCTGCATTATTAAAAAAAGAAAGAAACATCTAAAAGCAATATGACCATCTCTAATAACTCATTTGAGCATGAAACTAAACACTGGTAATATGCAGCGAATTCACCATGTAAATAAATGTTAATATCCCAATGCATCCTATATTGAAATAATCAGATACAGGTGTTGTGCGTCGGTGATCAGTGTGGCCGCGGCGTTTCCAGGGCGACGCTAATCTGGACTCGGGATACTTGCCACATTCCCCCCCCCCCCACGGCGCCCCCTGGCCCCGCGGGGGAACCCACCACCCGTTGTGCG